TTTATGTTATTAATTTTTTTTAGGTCTATCTACCAATTTATATATTGTAATTGATTCATCTATTCCAAGTTTTTTAAAGATATCTTACGGATAGCTTTGATACTAGTTTTCATTTGTTGATCTATGTATGCCATAAATAGTTTTTGTTGTTAATGTCTATATAATCAAGAATTTAATTTGTCAAAGTTCCTTGGCGAAAATTTCCATGAAATTATATATATAAACCCAATTCATGTCCAATAATTGGCACTGGTATATGATATAGTGGTTCATGTATCTAATCCGAGTACTTTGAAAATAGCTTAAGGAACATTGATTCTAGTTTTCATTCATAGGGCTAAATATGTCTTAAATAGTTTGTAATTTTGACGCTTATATATTCAAGGTATTCAAAAATTCCAGGCCATATTAAATATTTGTCATTCAAACCCAATTGATGTCCAATAATTGGTATATGATATACTGATTGACGATGCATATATTCCAAATTTGTTTATGAGAGCTTAGAAAGAGAAGAAAGAGTTAAGAAAAGAACAAACTGAATTTGCCTCGACTATTCATAAATATCTAGAATTTATATCTATCTTTGCTTCAAATCTCGCTCTATTCGTTACACATTTGGTGACAACAGTATAAGACCTTCTTTAAGGGTATAAAAAAATACCCAAACAAGCGAAACACCAACCAGAGACAACAAATTGACAACTTGTGGCAGGCGCAGTCAGAGGCGAAGGCGAAAGCTTAAGTGAAGTTGAAGGCGGGTAGCGGGAGGCAGCACTCGCAGCTTGTCTCTTTGTTTGGAGGCGTCACTCAGGGCAGCCCGCCGGCTAATTGTCATGCCAGCCAGCACGCATTTGGACTTGGACATTCGCCCGTCCAGGCGTCCATGCAATCGTATGTGTATGTGTGTGTGTGTGTGTGTGTGTGCGTGTGCGTGTGTGTGCTGTTGCGTTTTTGCTACTGATTTTTCTTATTTTCCTACTCTCTGTCCATCAATTGACTTTATCTATTTGAACTCACATGTTAAAAATATCAATTTGTTGTCGACTCTGCTGCGGGCTTTGTTGTTGCCTTCTTCTGACAGACACTTGGCTGGCACTTTTTATTTTTTTCGTACCGCACCAGCACCACCTCCAAGCTCCAAGCTGCAGCTTGGCGGCTCGAGCCTAGCTCCAAGTGCAGCTGCCAGATCTGCGGAGTCGCAGTTTTGCCTCCTGGTGTGATTTATGGCCACTTTATGGCATAAATGTAGGTGCGGCCGCACATAAATCATCGTCCAAGTTGCAACGCGTTGCAGAAAAGCGTTGCTGTAACTCGATACCTACTCGATGCTGTTTTGTGTGCAATGGCAAGGCTAAAGGCAAAGCCAATTGTTAATTTGCTTGGCTTCAAAGTAAAAAAAAACGATCAATTTAAAATATTTGGCTATAATTACGAGTGAAGTTCTATTTGCTGATGCCTTTCAGCCAAGCCTTGACAGTGATTCATCATTTAAAGCGGCTTTCCGCTTCCTGTCTTCCTTTCATACCACTCGCCGCCAACACCTGTTATCCTTTGGCCAGCCTTTAGCAAGTCATCTAACAGCATGAATGCACTCATTGCAATCACTTAATTCTTTCGTATTGGTCATTATGCGTTACGGACACGAATCCTTCACCATTCACACTGCCATTAAGCACTTGAGCCCAATTATGAATTGCCGGGGACCCAATCCCTGTAATAAGTGTGCCACTTGAGGGTAGAACGGCTTAGACAAACAGTTAGTAAATTAAAAGGCCACCGCACAGCCAGCCAGCTGACTGCACAGCCCAACCACTTTTGGTCCGCATGAGTGCCACACCCACAAAACTACACCCATACACTACACATTACACATGAATAATTCATGCGGCAGGAGCTGCTACAAATCTGCTGTTGCATTAATGAGCTACGCTTCTTATTTACCATGATGCCGCACAAAAAAAAAAAAAAAAAAGAATGGAAAAAATGAAAACGAACTAAATAGAAATGGAGAAATTGAGAAATATACGAGCGAGTCAGGTTTAATTAGAAGCTAAGTCAAGTCAAATTGTCTTATCATAATTTCCCCAAACGATTTTCCCATTTTCTGATTTTTGCACACTGCAAAATGCCAGAAATTGTTTAGTCATTCCATTCGGGGCTCACACATCAATCATGTTGCTTCGGACAGCTGAGTTAATGGCCGGGGATAATGTGCTGGGTGTTTGCGTGTCCTCTTACTTTATGTGGGTGTGTTGGTTCAGGACTTTCAGTTGGACAAGTGCATGATTAATTATTTTATTATCTATAAATTGGCTGTTGTGGCAAACGTTGGACAGGATGGTAACTATATATATAAGATTTCCTTTATTTGACTTTTGTTAAATTCTCATTGCATACTTTCGGGCGATTATAACGTTTTTTAAAATATACCTTATCTTACCTAAATAATAAAAGTTTCAACTTTAATTATTTTGCATTCGGCAATTATATTTTATTTTTCCGTATATTTGAGCACTCCAAAGGCCCTCAAAGTCCAGTTTGATATTTCGCTCAATTTTCAAGTGGCCGCAATTTTTGCACAAATTGGCAACATGTTTGCGTATAATACTCGTAAAAAAAAAAAATATAAATTTCGAAATGTGGGCCGCCTATTAAAATGCTTTCGAAATTTAACAGCTCCGCGTGTCACATTTCGAGTGTCATAAATCGATGGCACCCCGAAAGATTGCTCCCGATTTGGGGTCTATATAATGGCCATGATTTGGCCTGTTTTTAATTTGGGGGCACATTTTAATAGCCCCGGGTGCACAGCCTGCGTTCAATTAGCAAAGTTTTATGACTCGTTGGGGCCATATAGAAAATGTATCTTAAATTTTGCGTTGACAACGCAATAAGCAGCTGAGATATTGATGAATGCATTGCAAAAGCTAAAAGATTTCTATTTTTTAAAATTCCTTTTTAGCTGTATAGCGTGGGAAACTTAATTGTCGGTATCTCTCATTGGGGGTTATAGTTCAAAAAATATCATTAAACATGATAGCAGGAGCTAACGCTACTTAGATCAGCTCATTACCACCATGGGGAGTCGATGCCCCAACTGCAGCTAGACACGGAAGCCAATTAGAGCTGCATCGAGTTGGTCCAATTGAATACACATACATAAGCAAGTCCAATTAGCGCTTAGATCATAAACCAAACCAAACCCAACAACTAACTCAATCATTACGCAATTAAGCAACAGACGAAAGGGCAGCGCACATACAACAGACTCCAATTCCATAAACATAACCATATCTACGGTCTATAGTCTATGGCTCCCTTATAGACAGATAGATAGCTAGATGGATAGATATGGGGGCACACATTAAATCACGCGACCCATTAATAAAATTGTTAAAGTTCTACGCAATGCGAGGCGGCTGGAGATGCCGCCTCGACATTTTAATGGCCAAACAGAAGTTTCAAATATTTAATCATTGTCGCTTGGTATCATAGTCGGCCATAGATATGCCATAATTCTGTTGAAAACAATTTGTATGCTTTGATTTGATTTGTGGCAAGATCTTTTGGGGGGGCATGAGCGGGACTGCTGGCTGTGCAGCTGGCTGTGTGTGTGTGTGTGGACGCGACCATTTTTATGACCCTGTTTGTAGGCCATTAAATGATTGTGTAAATTCTGAAAAAAATCAAATTTGAACAGTTTTTGAAGAAGACATTAAAATGATGAGTCTGTGTAGTTGAGTGTTAAATTTGTTGCTGAGGTCAAGTGAATTTACAAACACGCATCGTTTTTTCGTTGCACAACAAAGCAAAAGCTCCATCAGAAGGTAACAACCTTTTGGTGGCAACTGTACAACTCTTAGTTGCAGTTGTCGTCAAACTCTGCCGCAACGTGCATCGGCAGTGTTCCAAGTCTTTGATTGACAATTGTGCAACAGAGTGTGTGCGAGTTTTGCTAGGGGGCGAGTGGGCTTTGAGTTTGAAGGACTTATCTCGGGGCACAGCATCATCTAATGTCATGGCTGACATGAGCTGGCGGGCGGGAGCAGCGAGGCCCCTAACTGTCACTTGATGTTTGTTGGATGCTGTTGCTGCTGCATTTGACAGAGGATGATTTTTTTTCATTATATATATATATATTATTCTGCTGCACGGGGCGCACGCGCATTGTCCTACGCCAAGCAGCCAGTTACAATTCTTAGGGGGCACAACATGTGTTGCATATTACTTGGAAAATGCCTCAAATAGTTGCGGCCGCAGATGTTTGGCGGCTGCCACGGCAACCTGGGTCGCCACACTGAAAACTAATGCTCGGCCTAAAGTGACGTTTTCATTTTTCGGAAAATCCCCCTTTTGACTTGGTCGCTGTCGACGGTTTCTATTTTTAACACGTGGCAGGCGGCGCGTGTAGCTGGCGACCCCCGAAACCGAAAACAAACTGAACAGAGTCGATCTGCTGCCCCCCATTTACCGCCCTCGTTGGGTGTGCAATTGTGCGTGTGTGTGTGTGTGTCGTGAATGAATTTATAAATAAAATCAGAGATCACGGGCCGCCACTTCTGGGGAAATCCATTCGTGTGTATGTAAAATATCTCCTGCTGAGTTTTTCTTGGCGCACTTTTCATTTAATTTCGTGACTTTCCTCACTTTTTTTTCGTTCTTGTTTTTGTGTGTGTTCATGTTTTTTGTTTATAAATTTTCAATAAATGCTTTATTATCACCCCAGTTTTGGGGGCCTGCAACTCGTAAGTCGAGTTTGTTGTTGCTTTCTTATTTGGATGTTTCGCCTCTTGATGAGCTGCTGATGGGTGGCTTCTAATGAATTGTGGCGACGTCTCCAGTGTAGCTGTCATCAGTCGTTGCCAGAAACACGCAATTGATTTATTTTAGTTGTTTGTTTTAACACCAGCAAGTAATTCGAGCTTCAACTGAGAAACATCTCTCTCATCCTAGGCCTTATAATAGCCCATTTGTACTGTGCAGTTAAAACGTTTCGCTTCCATCGCTTTCAAAGACCTTTATTGCTAGTTTATTAAATGAACTAATAAATTGTGTAGAATTTGTATAAAAGTATGTATCAAGACGTCTAATTCTGACGATCTTCAATCTTCACGAGCACTATGAAACCACCGACATTCTTGCCACCGGTCCAGAACGTTATTATGGCCTTGACAATGCCGCGTGGCACTTGCTCGGGCCAATCTTTGGTGTTAAATAATACGCTTTTGATGTAATACTCTCCCTTGGGTATTGGACAGGTATCCTCGCCCACAATTGGAAAATTAGTGGTGTCGCCCTCGCTGACAGAAGGCTGCACGAACTGTACATAGAACTTTTTGAAGCACTCGCAAATGCTGGTCTGTGGCACATCGAAGACCATGCGCTTGAAATCGCCGTCGCTATTGGGACTGGAGTAGAGCTCCACAGAAACCTTAAAGTCATCATTGTCCATGTCGCCCAGAAAGGAAAACGAACCGTTGATCATGCGCTCACGTCCCACGGTCTTTAGATTATCAAACAGCACAAGCGTATCCGAGTCGCCCTCAAAAGATTCCAGCTGCTCATTGCTTACCACATACGGTTGTTCGCCCTGCATAAAGGATATATCAGTGGTAGTTTCCTTATAAATATTATGCCATAATATTTACCGCAATGTGGTGCACCAGCTGAGCGAATATAAAAATTACTGCCCACTTCATTTCGATGCCGAACCGCACAGTAGCTAATCGTGTCAATTGCCTGGCCTATTTATTAGATGCCCCGGGCCCATTTAAAGCACGCGATATTCGTGTTTCCATGCTGATCAATCCGATCGGTTTCATGTTTGTCGATCTTGTTTTTGCTTGTTAATTGCAACAATGTTGTTGATATTTTTTACAACAACCTTACATGCTTTTACAAGTATTCTTTTCAGTTATTTCAGTATTGTTTTCGGACATAAAATGTTATGTTCAATCTTTAATCTCACTCGGTTGTTCTTGGCAGATGGGCAAATATAAAAAGGGGCTTGGAATCGATGTATTTGATGTCCTAGCAGATGGTCACATTACTTGGTTCTATTCGTGTCAAGTTATGTAAATAAGTAGAAAACTTTGATCCAGCCGATTGATAGTTGGTCTGCCTATTTGTCTTGCTTAAAGATAATTACAAATTAAATCGTATTTTTAAGAAATACCTTATTTATGTCGACTATTTTATGTTTATTCATTTTATTAAAGATTAGCATACTATTTGTTTTAAAATGTTTAATAAATCTTCTTTGTTAGTTATTAAATTGAAATTTCAGTTAATCTATTACCCATTATATGTTTCTCAGAGAGAACTTATAGCTACCCTAATACCTAGTCTTTAATTTAGAACACATTAAAAATGAGTAAAATGGGTATAATATAATAAAAGAGCTAGTCACCAAATTTGGCATGTAACTTCTGGAATAGTTTATAGAGATCAAAATTTTATCAGGATCGGTTAAGAAACACAAAATTTTTTAAAGAAAACGTGTAGTTATATTGGCAAGCCACGTAGCTGCAAGTGCAAAACGCAAGAACTTCTGCATACATGTACATATATTCTTGTGTTTTTGTAATTCTATAATTGGCGATTGCGATTCAATTGTGTGCCTAACTGTGCGTAATTGCTGCTAATTTCATTTAGGTTTTTTTTTTCATTCAAACTGAATTCTTGGCATGGCTGTGAGGCATAGTGTGATCTGTTGACGGGAGTTGCATTTGATGTTAGTAGAAGAAGGTTCAGGGTATACCCTAGTCGGGCTCCAGAATAGATCACTCTTACTTGTCGATTGATTGCTTGTTAAATATTCCCTTTTTAATTCGAGTTTGCACATGTGTAAGAAGAATAGACAAATTAATTAATATTTAGGTGCGAACTGACCAGCTTCCCATAGAAAAACCTCTTTTTCGACCAGTGAACTTTATGATCAAGTCCCATGTTTATAGGATTTAACATATGTAGGGAGTATAATAAGACTTATAAACGCTAAGTTTAAGCAAGATATTAGAATAAACAAAAATGTTTTTAAGGGAAGAGCTTAATTTTCGACCCTTCAATACTTAAGAGAGTTATATGAGCAAGTAACATTTCGTATCAATATTAAATCACACGTTACACAATTTGTGACAATTATACATAGGTATAAAAATCGACTTTCAATTCGATTTGCACACGTCGATTCGATCAATTGAAGCCAACCCACGCAGCTTGGTGTAGTATGTAAATCGCTCAGCAAAAGTAAACCCCAATTAACGCCTTAGAACGTGCCAAATTTATTGCGAAAAGCCAGCCAATTGATTTATGCAAAATTGTGTCGAAGTAACGGCGAAAACTGGTAGCCGCAATGTCTAACCCAATAGGCCGAGCAGCAAATTGAACCTCACGTAGAGAACACCCACAATGTTTGATTCGCGCCAGCGCAAGACCTCGAAAATCAATCAACCTCGATTTGATATTTATTTTCTTGTTGCTGTATTATTGTGGTCTTTGCCAAGCAACTCAAAAAGCGTATTGAAAAAAAAAAAGACATACTCGCAAAATCTTAATAATAAATTGCTGTGATTTAATCAATTGTAGCAGGTGTTTTTACAACTGCACGCAGCGTTCCACCAACAACAATAAGAACCAAAAAAACTGGTTGCGCTGAGTCTTTGGCTCCTTCGTATGCTGCTCGCTGCTCTTGTGGGCTGTTTGATTTGCGCAAATTAGCGCGAGCAAAGAAATAAAAAACTCTATAAAAAAAACACGAGACAAACCTGCTGCACAGTCGTCGACCCGCTAGCCGCATGCAGCATGTTGCACACAGACATGGGCCGCACGCTGCTCGTCGAGCAATTGTGACAAAAATCTAACTCTTGACTGGGGCACTAAAGCTCACATTTAATGCACTAACCAACAGCAAATCTTCGATCTTGCGACGCGGGCAGGCTCAAATGTGTTTTCCATAAATTAGAACCCACACAAGCGACAACAACCTGTAAGGTGTTTCTCAACCATTCTACAGGTCTCATTATACCAAATGAACACATGAATTTGCATCTGGAATTGTGCTCAAATAAGATTTATAACTAAGCTTAATGCTAGATTATGTCAAATCGAATTTAATTGATCGATCGGGCTAAACGTTTTATTTTGAAATTATATGCATTCAGTAATTAGTTACATAATTTTATGGATCTGTATCCTAAAGATTTGCCTTGGATCTGTATCCTATAGCCCTGTGCATAACATATGTGTGTGACAACACAAATTCAATTGATGGATCCAGCATTATTATTTATATATACCCACTGCAAACCCTATAGATAGTATCCTATATTTTAAAGTGGGGGTATTGGTCTTGAAAGGAATACCAATATATGAATAGATAGTTTATTGAATATATCGAACACAGTGTGTATTCCTTATGTCGTCTTCTTGTCAGACTGTCGCAATGATTTAATTTTTGGCATTTGCCGTTTGATTGATATTAATGGCGCTTATCAATCAATAGCCTCGTGTGGTTGGGCACAGGTAGGAAACGAAACGTGTAATCGAATGTCTTCTCGTGTCTCACGTACAACGCCTCGGGTACATATATACACATATGTTGGGGCTTGTAACTGAGTGGGTCGCAGTGTGAGACGGTGGCCCGAAACCACAGTGGGGCAGCCAATTATGCCATTTGGCCCAAAAATAAAAAAAAGCACATATGTATATGCATATGTGTATATATGCATTGGCTGTTGGTGGTTCAGGTCGGCAGGTCCGTTGCGCATGCGCACCGCATGACGTCCAATAAAATTAAGCGTGTGTTGCATTTGTTGTTGTTGTTGTTATTGTTGCCCACTTGACCAACAAACGAAACAACACGTACAAAGTTTGACGCGTGACGTGCTTGCTTAGCTCATTAGTTACACTAGACAGCAAAATACGCCTGTTAAGCAGCAATTTACGTTGCCATTTTATCGTCAGGAATAGATGTTTACGTATTTTCAGCTTTGGCTAATTATAAAATATTTATTACATGATCCAAATATGCATGTGTAATATCTATATTATATGATGTTATGAATTGAGATTATTATAAATATTTTTATTTGCATAAAAAGTGCTTGGTTCCGGCTTTAGGCTTACATATACGAAAAGAACAGACATGCACGAGTATTTGGAAGTTTTTTTTTGCATACAATCGAAACTTATTTCAGATGAACTTTTAACATAACATATTAATTATACTTGACTGCCATTATTAAAAATTGTTGAATTTTCATTAACTTTCTAAGAAACTAAACCATAAGTCTATTATTTATTTTCAAATCAATTTAATGTTATGTTACTTTATAGGGTTTTTTACACATTGTTATATACTGGCGCATTTTAATAAACTTTTTTGATATAATATTATATATATATTATTAATTTTTCTATTAAAAACGTACTTTATTTGTATTTAAGTGCGGTTTTGTAAACTAAACATTCGGAAATATTGCAGAAGGGAACATAGTCTTTATAAAACGTTTTATGGAAATTAACAATTAAAAATATGTTTATATTGAATAAGCATGAGTACAAAGTCTTGTCTTGAAGGGCAAGATATAGTATAAATTGGCGGGGTAAGACCCAAAAAAACTTTTCCCATAGCAGAAAAGATTGTTGATTTGATAATTAGATATTTATATATTATTATTATTATATATTGATGATTAGATAATAATGTATATTTATATATATTAATATTTACATTTATATCTGTGTATCTGTATCTGTATATGTATCTATATCTGGAACTGTATCTGTAAATGTATCTATATCAATATCTCAATCTGTATCTATATTAAATTGGTTAAAATACTTCGTCTACTGTGCCAACATTTGGTAGCATAGTGTACTTTGTTATTGCCACTTGTGGCACGAACACACCGCGTATACACCAACACAAGGGCAACAACTTTCGTATTAGGCCAATGCGGCAACAACAAAATTTTGCGAGCCGCAGCCGGAGTCGGTGTCGTTGCCGAGAAGCCGCGGAAGCCGCTCACGCCTGTGTAGGAAGCTCTGTGGCGAGCCTTTTAGCATTTATGCCAAGTGGCACTCGGCCCTCCCCGTGCGCCACCTGGCCCACCACCACCACCACCACCACCTGTGCCTGGGCTCTTAGTGCTCTATTGCAGTTAATTTTCGCAACGACGCAATAGAGTCGCTGCGCACAGCTCCCACGCGGCTCCCTCCGCAGCTGCAGCAGCTGGTTTAACAACCTGCCGCCGCCTTATCACCTGCCTCAGTCGCAGCATCGCGGCCAGCTGTTTTTATTTATATACTTACACATAAATATATATATTTTTTTCTTTAATAATATATTTATTTTGTTGCGCAGCTTGTTTTCGTTTCTGCAGATTTTGGCGCGCAAAATTTCAGGTTTCGTAATGCCTATCGGGCTGCATTTTTTTTTTGTTTTTGGGCTGTGGCCAGGCGTGGGCCAGTTGCTCCGTGCGCGCTCAATCAAATGGCTTTTAATTAATTGAAATACGTTACTTTAATTGCATGGTAATTAAAAGTTTGATTTATTTTACTATCAGTATTCCAGTCGCCCCCTCATTCCTTGGTAGTTGTGCATTAATTGTTGACCCGTTGCCCCGTCCCAGAGCTGATTATGCTAATGTCTGTTGGCGCTTTGCTATAACTTCACAATATGCAAATATGTTAGCTTTAAGCGATGTCTTGACTAAAATGTTTCGCCATTTGCGTTGAACTGCACTTACTTGTATGCCTGTCAACGTTGTTAATGGTTAAGTTAACAGCTAAGTTGTCGAACTTAAGAGGGTTTAATATAACCGTTTTATGATTTAAGAAATACGCAGTTGTAATATTTTATACCCTGAAACTATCAAAATTAATAACAAATGTATAAACAAGTTTTGAAATCGTGTGCAACAGGTATTGGCAAGATATTGGTATATATTTACCTCTGATACAAATCTCATTTGTTTACATTAAATATATAGAAAATTTCCGTTCAGTTTTTGCTAATAATCCAGATATGAAGTAGCTGTTAGGATTGAATAAATATATTTGCCATTGCTTCTGATACAAGGCCTTAAATTGGAAAATATTCTTTTGATGTTTATTAAAGTTAGA